GCCCAGGATGCTCCAGAAACCGCTGCTTTCTGTTGCACTTTGGGAAATTTCCCTTGCATCAAGGCCAGCTACAATTAATTTTAAACCAATTGTGCACATCTTGTTTTGTTGTAAAACAAACGTTTTCAGCACCTGGTAGGCAATATTAATCTCATGTCATTTCCACAATGGGAATTGTCATCCTCGCTTTTACAGCCCATCTTTGATTAGTTTCCAGGTGTGACTTCTTTGCACTGAAGGCTCAGTGTTGCCATTACCTGGAGCCAAGTGCTGTGCATGGAGCAGCCAGGCACTTTGTGCTCTGATTAGCCATGGTGCTCCAAAAAGCCAAATCAAACAAGGATTGAGATCAGCAGCTTCCCGAGGGCATTTCAAGGCCCTTAGTGAGTGACCACACTAAAGCTTTTTCCATTTACCTGGATTAAAATTTGTCACAGAGAAAATACAAGCAAATAGCATAGCATCTGAGAAGTATAACAAATAGCATTTGGCCAGCCGTCAGGCTCAAAGGGGAAAAAAAAACATCCACAGCATAAATAAAGTGTAAACAATGTTTGCATAACATTGGATTAATAGTTCTTTTTAAAAACCGCACTGGGATTAAAGAGATGCATTTTGTATGCCAGGACTTGTGCTCTCCTCTTAGCCCAATAAATGCCAGAGCATGCAAAACCCTGATCCCATCCTGCCCAGGATACGCCAGCCAGCCCTCGTGCTGGAGAGCCCACCCAGACCCTGTGCTCTAAAAGCTCCCCTTTGAACCCCCAAGGCGTTCTGGAGGGCAGCGGGGGAAGAGAAGGGATGTTATTGCGGCGTGTGTCTGTCCTCCCTGCCGCACGGTGCCGCGGGGTTAGGTCTTGCCAGCGGTGTGCTGCTGCAGAGCCGATGTGATGGCTTTACAGTCTGTCACCTCCTCTGGCAGGCAGCCCTCCTGGTCCCGGAGTGCAGGGTCGGCTCCCGACTTCAGCAGCAGCTCCACGATGTCCAAAAACTCGCAGGCAGCAGCTGGAGGGAGAAAAGGGAAGGGTGAGTCAGGGGATCCCCACCCGAAGAGGAGGTGATGGGTGTTCCTGGAGCAGTGCTGTAGCTGGTGACTGCCCATGTGTGTGCCAGAGGGAGGAAATGCCGTGTCAGCACCTGGCCAGGCGGAGCAGATCGTTTTTCGGGGAAGTGTTCAGTACTCAATGTATTACAGGTCTTTGGATTTAATAGTGCAAAGGAGAAAGACAAGAGTGAAAGCAATGAAAAGCCAGAAGTCCTGAGGGGGTGTTGCCAGTGCAGCTGCCACCCCAGAGCCACGGAGCCGGGCAATCTGCAGGGCATCACCCGGGACAATGCACAGGGTACCTGAGTGCAGCTTGGCCAACACTCTGCATCCAGGATTGCAGTGAGACGCCGGGAAGGGCCCAAGAGTGCTACTGCAGCACCCCAGAGAGCCCAGAAGTGCCACCTGGGAAAGCCTGCCCCACCAGCTTTTGTACCCAGAATTTAAAGTGCATTTGTCATTTATAACATATTTATAAACCCCCTGCCCCTCACCTGCCTCCTGACCCTTGCAGGGCTCCACAGGCAGCACATCCCAGGCAGGACAGTCAGTACCGCCTCGCTCCTGGCTTTCACCCATCATTTCTCCTTGCAGGAAATGCAGATGGTATTTAGCTGCTGGCCGGCCCTTCCCTGAGCATCAGCCCCAGGGAAAGGTGACCATGCCCACAGACAGCCAGTAAGAGCACATTGCTGTTATTTCTAACTCACACCTCTGCTAGCATCTGCTAGCAACTATTTTTTCAACCCCAATTTACCCTGCCAAGTCAGAATCAAGTTTGACCTGAGCTCTTCTTTGTCCCAAGGATGAAACAACCTGGCAGCTTTCCATTCTCCCTCCAACCTCATCTAAGAATGTTATATAAAAAAAAAAAAAAGCACCAGTAAAGAACTGAAAACTCTTATCACTGAAGAGCTGAGCTTGGCCAGTACCAGCAGAAGTCCCAGTGTCTGGATGTTCCTGTAAATCCGTGCAACGCAGATCCTAGTGAAGCCAAAAACTGCCTCAGCCCCCATCTGCCTTAAGAGACAGTGAAGCCGGCAGCTTCCCCTTGCATTGGTAGTGATTGGTTTTAATTATATTTCAGGCACTTTTACAACGTAACCGACCAAGTCTTTTTTTTGCTGTTAAATGTAGCAATTAGAGTGTCTTTTGCATTACTCTGCAGTTTTCTACTGACCCAAAGGGACAAGCAGCAATGTTTAATTAAAATAAATTTGATGTGTGATTGGAGCTTATACAGAAAAAGATAAAAAATGGGGAATAAAAGGGGGAAGGGGTTGGTGAGGAAGCAGTTGGTGGTGTGGGTGAGGCTGAGTTGAAGGGCTGGGGGGCACATCTTGGGGTCTGGGCACAGCACCCTTGCAGAAAACAGACTTCTAGGAGTGTCAAGAAAGCTGCAGTGGCAGCAGCTCTTGGGGCCGAGGAGCTGATGCCCACAGGGGTAAAGGTGGTTTCATTGTCCGGTGTCACTGGCGGGCACAGCCTGTATCCTCTAGTGGGCCGGGGACGTCCCTGGGGATGAGCACAGCTGCTGGATTTATCGCACCCTGGGACCCCCGATTTGTCAAGGGCCGGAGTGGCAGCCCTGACACTGGCACGGGTGAAGATGAATTTCCATTCAGCACAGTTCGCCTTCTGACTCCATTAATCCTCAGGGTTCAGATGATGAATTTCTTTTCTTTTTTTTTTTTTTTTTTTTTTTTTTTTCTCCCACTGCCCTGCCACAGCACAGAAAGAACCGAACAGATGGTGCTTTACAGGGAAGCCGGAGAGCCCATGAGGATACAGAGCCTGCCCACTCTGTGGCCACGTGGCCACCAGTGCTCGGAGAAGCCTTGATTTCCTCTGGGAGAGTCAGCAGCAATGATTTTAGTATTCCCAGTGGGTGGGTGGATGGATGGATGGATGGATGGAGAGGAACCGAAGACTAGCGGGCTGTTAGCAGGGAGACCATGCTCATGCCCATCAACACAGCACCGACCGCTGCCGGCAGTCCAGAGGAGAGTGGGTCTGGTGGTGGCTCCCACCAGTGAGCTGGTGCCTTTGGACCATGCTGCCAGCTGGCCTCCACTTAACCTCCGATTAAACCCGGGGTCGGCGCCGATCGGAAGGAGGCAGGATTTATAACCCACAGCAGGATGCAGTTTGACACCGGCTGTAATCAGGGGAGCTGTCACCACAAGGACAGCTGTCAGGCCACGCCGGCTCATAAAAAGGGATGGAGACACCCTAAAAGCAGTGGCTGCCTTGTTGGTCCTGCTGATGGGATTTAACCCTTCCCTGAACAGTCCTTAACAAAAGGGAAGGCCTTGTAAAGGCACTGCTCTGCTCAGCACCGCCAGAGACAGTTTTCACATGAGCTCTCATGTCTCTGCTGCAATTAATGGCTTGGTTACGAAGCACTTACTGAGATGGTATTGGGAGATTTTCAGTGAGTTCTAGTTTCAGGACAATAGCCACTTGAATCAAAACCATTCCCTCATTTAACAAGCTGTTTTCAGGATTGGAGTGATTTATGACCAGATCAGCTAAGCAAGAGAATGAGGACAGCCTGGGTGCAGCACCAGTCAGGCAGGGACAGCGGGGCACCTGCAGGGACAGCAGAGCACCTGCAGGCACACCGGATCTGTGTGCCCTTGACCCAGAGAGGCCTCCCCAAAGATGATGTACAGGGAGGAGAGGTGGGATAATACTCAATGGAGAGAAAAAATTTTAACACTTAAAACATTCAGGAAAAAAAACCTGGTAAACTGTCATTACTGAAACATCTGAGCTGGTAGGGTGGATTGGAGAAACCACTCCTGAAATAATGTTAATTACATCAGTTATGTTTGTCTGCTTGTGTTAAAAAACCTGCTTCAGCCACCAGCCAGAGGGATCCACCTGAACAATAGTTTACACTGAGGGGATGCATCCACCCTCTACTTTCACATATTGAACTTGCCTGAAGCAGGTGCTCTTGGAAAATGCATATGCTATGCCTTTGCACAACCTACTATAATCCACCGTGCACCCCTCGGTAGGCAGACGTCAATGCTGGAGAGGGGAGCAGGAGAAAGCATCTCCCTAGGAGAGAGAAAGCCCGAACTGTGGAATGATCTGGGCAGAGAAAGGCAAGGCAGCTTTAAGCACTGTCATTCTGTGGACACTGCAGCACTAAGCAACAGATTTGCTACTTCAGTCAGAAGGGTAAGAATTTGAAAACTACAGGAAAGATGATATGGGGAGAAATCATACATTATTGTAATTACAGTCTCAGTTCAGGGACCCTGGAATCTGGTAGTTTAGATCCAGATCCAAATGCTGTGCCTTGGACTGATGGTCTGCAAAGCAATTTTGCCATCCTCATAATGTCCTTGTGGAGAGATCAGAAAGAGAGAAAAAGACACAAACACTTCAGAATGACAAGTACGCTCTAATTACACAGTGACAGGCATTGAGAGAGAGAGTATAAAGTAAGAACTGGTATGTCCTAATTTTGGAAAAAGTTATGATACAGATTAAATCAATACTTTTTTTCCTATTGCCCACACATCAGCACCACATGTGTCACTTTAGTCTCTATTTTTCTCACTTGGAGATAGAACAATTTTTCAATTAAAAGGATTTTACAAAACCGTATCTAATTAGCATGTAATTATAGGAGGGACACAAACTGTAACTTTGCTCTGTTGGTTTTGGTAGTAGAGAAGCTGCTGCTTTCTCAGCTGCGATACAACAGGTTTGTCACCAGGATGAGTGGAGATGAAGGTCATCTTGCTCATCCCCTTTCCCTCACCTGTGTAACCTGTTAAAGCTGGTGCAGATCCTCCTCTCAATCCCCTGATGGCTAAGGGACTTAGCATCCCCTAATCAGAGCCACTCCTGGGTCTGCAGGTAGCACAACTGCGACCCGGAGACACATGAGTACACAGGAAAAACTCTGCAGAAAGTGCATCATGAACTGGGGAAAAAGGAAGGCTTTAAGGTGAAATTTGCAAAGGAGGAGGAAGGGAGGACAGCAGTCTTCCCCACTGCTTCTCCCAGGGCTCCTATTCATACTGTGCTGGGATTTGCCAGTGGAGGTAGCCACTGGTTAATCAAACTCAGCTCCCCTGCTCATATTTCTGCTGAAATTTGCTTTCTGTACATAGACCAGATGCAAACCCATCCTGTTAAGAGGGAACAACCAATCTGAAAGGCAGCTTACCATAATGGAGTGCAGTCTGGCCTTCCCCATCCTGAAAAAGAGAGAGAGAGAGAGAGACTTGATTGTAGAGGTATAAGTAACATCGTGGGGATATAAATAAATTCCAGGTTTAAATAAATAAGCTGAATCACTGCAATGTTTTAATTGACTAGATAAACAGCCCAGGACACCCAGCTACCTGGCAGTTAGGCTTTGAATCATCATCCACCATCAATCCATATTGATGGATAATCAATATCTATCCACCCATAAGAGTGCATGGATCATGTCATGACATGAGTATAATTCAGTTCATAGCGTTAGCACTTCCGGCCCATAAAAATGAAGGATTTCAATCCTATGGCCTTACTTTGGGACCCTCACTAAACCTGATACTTTAGTGCAAGATGCTTCTGTGCGAGCCCAGCCTTGGCCAGCTACTTGAGAGAAGCGTAAAGCATCGGGACGCTGGCACAGCTCAGCATGCAGTGCTCTTCAGCATGAGAGCGCACAGGGGAAAAAACCTCCACTTTTCTTCCACCTGAATAAACCTTAGATCCCTGCTCTTCAGAATTCAGGTCTGGCCAAAGGTGGACCCAAAGCCCAAGTGAGTTTTATTGGGCTGCTGGCATCCTTGCTGCATGAGGGTGAGGAAAGGGCTAGGCACAGTGCTCAGGAATCGTGGTTGCCAAACTCATCCTTGTGAAACACCTGCAGTGCCAGAGTGAAGAAAAGCACGTGACTTGGAGACGTTGGCACACAACTCCCTCTTTAAGCTAACATGTATGTCACTGCATCAGCTGCAATGGTTTGGGAAGTGTGTCCCCTTCCCAAACTCGGCAAGCATGGGCAGGGCTTTGCCGGTGAGTGGTCGGTGCTCATGTGGCATTTCCAGCAGTACAAACACAAGAACAGGTGAAATAACAGAAGGGAAGAATTACTGGCCCCTCTGCTTTCACTATCCCACCAGGATTAGCCTCTAATTCAGGTCTTTGCCTCCTTAATTTATTTGCATCTGTTTATGAAGACTTAACTTTTTAATTACCCATCATCTTTGGGATTAAGGTGCAAATTCTACAGCCTGCCGTGGATTCTGGAGCAGGCGAAAGGGAAAAGAAGAACAGGAAGACAGGTAGAAATCCCACCTGTAGCTGTTAGGAGACTTCTGGTTTCCCAGCTTGTTATTCTGTTTTATATTAACGCTGTTCAGCTGAGGAACTAGAAATGACTTGTGTTTCAGGGTGACCAGAGGTGCCACGCTTTGCCCTGGGACACTGCACCAACACAACAACCACACGACCAGCAGGGATAAAAAAGAAAAGCCAGATGTAACAGGCATTTGCTGCCTAAAGAGCCATTTCACATCTTTGCTGGGGAAAATGTGGGGGGTGAGATTTCTCCTTCCATGTGCTGCTATGCCCTATTCATGGCACTCTTGCCAGCATTTGGAGGCGTCTCATTTCAGGAGCCTATTTCTGCCCAAATTGTGGGCAGCTTAATGCAAATGGCTGTCATTAGAAGATACTGCAAACCAAACAACTGAAGGAATCAAGGACGGCATCCACTGATTATTCCACACTAATAAGGTAACCGACCTGAGCCAGAGCCCCCACGTGGTCCTTACCATGTGCCTGCTCAGAGGAGTGACTGACTTCAGCAAAATACGGAGCAGGGCTGGGGAAGAAGAGGTGGGAGCACTCCGAATGAGTTACTGGAAAGGCAGGCTTTCAAATATGCAGGTTGTGTGTGTGATGGGGGATGGGAAGCCAGCTTCCTTCTGCATCGCTGGCTTCAAAATTGTAGCTGACAAAATCCACAGGTGAATGGGATTGGAGACATGCAGCAGAAATCCCTTGCCATTGGAACGCTTTGCTGCAAAACTCCTTCTAAAATACATAGGACTGCTACAGCCATTTGCTCCTCTTCCAAAGGCCCGCGTAAAGCACTGCTGCCTCAGCAGCGGGCTCTGGGCTAACGAGGCTTTTTATTTCTCTTAGATGTACTTTCTGGCATTTATTGGGCTAAGAGGAGAGCACAAGTCCTGGCATACAAAATGCATCTCTTTAATCCCAGTGCGGTTTTTAAAAAGAACTATTAATCCAATGTTATGCAAACATTGTTTACACTTTATTTATGCTGTGGATGTTTTTTTTTCCCCTTTGAGCCTGACGGCTGGCCAAATGCTATTTGTTATACTTCTCAGATGCTATGCTATTTGCTTGTATTTTCTCTGTGACAAATTTTAATCCAGGTAAATGGAAAAAGCTTTAGTGTGGTCACTCACTAAGGGCCTTGAAATGCCCTCGGGAAGCTGCTGATCTCAATCCTTGTTTGATTTGGCTTTTTGGAGCACCATGGCTAATCAGAGCACAAAGTGCCTGGCTGCTCCATGCACAGCACTTGGCTCCAGGTAATGGCAACACTGAGCCTTCAGTGCAAAGAAGTCACACCTGGAAACTAATCAAAGATGGGCTGTAAAAGCGAGGATGACAATTCCCATTGTGGAAATGACATGAGATTAATATTGCCTACCAGGTGCTGAAAACGTTTGTTTTACAACAAAACAAGATGTGCACAATTGGTTTAAAATTAATTGTAGCTGGCCTTGATGCAAGGGAAATTTCCCAAAGTGCAACAGAAAGCAGCGGTTTCTGGAGCATCCTGGGCAAGGTGTGGTGTGCCTTTCTTGCAGCACGTGCCTCTGTTGGGATGAATGACCCCAACGGTGAGCGGACAGGGACAACCTGCTGCAGCCTTTGTCTTCACCCCACTGCAACTTGTCCAGGGCACCAGCAAATGTTATTGCCCAGCCCAGGATCGCTGACACCAGCCAGGAGCGGGGTGTCCCAAGCACAGCCTTTGCAGCCAGGAGGAACACAGAGATGCCAGTGGTGATCAGATGGACCCTTTTGCCCATCTGGCTTGCAAGTGGGGGCAGCTAAGTCTTCTCCACTGAAACCCATCAGGATTTTTGTGGGGTTTTTTTATACAAAGCACCAAGTTGCAGGGGGATGTTTGTCATGATTGTTTACTTCTTCTCTCCAATTTAGCTTTCAGATTACAGAAATGTAAATCATACAGAGCTGCAAGTACAACAAAACCCATACATACAGAAATCAACCACCTGATAAATCTGTAATGTAAAAACCTCAATACTGTAACCAGTTATTTCCAAACTGTGCCTATGGAAAGTTAGGTAATCACAGTGTGTTATCGTTTCTGTGCTAAGGTGTGTTAAAAGAAATTAGAGACTTTTTTTCCCCAATAGGAGCTTCTGTAGCATGAGAGGAGCACAAAGAGAAGGTCTTGAGTAGGGGATCTGATGTCAGGGAGCACAAGAGAAGAGATGGGCAGCTCTGGGGCCAAGGCTGAGCTCTGCTCAATGCCAGGATGCCTCTCAGAAATGCCTTTTCAACATCACGCTTCAGTTGGAATAATGTCAATGTGACAGGTTAGAAAGGAAGCAATCGGTGCTCTGATTCAGTGAACTTCAACATGAAAAGGGGAAAAGGCCAGGCTCAAAGCAGGAATTTGTAGTGATTTTGTACAGCTTTGCTTTCAGCTTGCAAGGCACTGGCAGGTACCTGTCCCAGAGCCCTTTTAGCAATACCCTGTCAACAAAAAGGAGAAGCTTGTGTAAATGGCAGAACCCATACAGGCAGACAGAAGATGACCAGAAAGGAAAGAAATACCATTACATGCAAATGTAGGAGTGCTCATCCCACACACACAAGTTACCAATCAACAACAGACTGATCCCAAGCTTTCCTCCTGCCTCCTAACATTGCCTGTCATTCCTGGCAACTTCTGCATCCTCTTGGCACATCTGGCCATACCAGGGTGACAGCTGAGCTGTACAGCCTTCAAGGGGAAGAGCATTTCCAGCTATTTCAAAAATAAAACCAAATGCCCACGTCTACCAAACTCATCAAAACAAAGATACTACAAAATCACTGTTGCCTCCTACATACATGGTCCGTGACAGATGTCACTCAATGAAAATCCAACTACCAGTGGGTAACTTATTGGATAACAGGATTTTGTTCTGCTCCTGAGAAATTTAAGCAAGAGAAATGAGAGAAGATGGACCGAGCGCAGATGGACCAACTGTCTTATCCATTAAGTGGTACTATGGCTACTACACGTCAATTTTGTCTTATAAGTGATAGGATTATATCGGTGTTGCCATCCCATGTTTATTCCTTGGGAATTTCTGTACCCTGCTTAACCTAACACAAGGTTTCTGGTCTGAGGGGCAGAGACACAGAAATGGCTTGGCTGGGCCCTGCTGAGATGCTGCATATGCTATAAACACAATTCCCACTGTCCTGCCATGGCAATCAGATCCTGACGTGTCAGTGTTTGACTGTGCTGGTTTCATGGGACAGTTTTTAAAACAGTGTTATATAAACATTGATCTTCCAGACCTGAATCACTTGCTCTCCAAGCTGCATACAGAAATCTCTGCAAGCAGGAGGGTGACCCTAAGGGAGACACCGTCTCTTCCTCCACATCACATGTTTTATTTAGCACAAGTACAGAAAGAGGAAAAACAAAACCGTGCTGGGTAACAACCTGGGCGAACTCTGGTCCAGCTAGACCCCATACTGGTGATGAAGCTGGGGCTGGACAGCCCTCCACACCAGCTGCAAGGGTGTGCACAGGACCCCCCACACCTCCTTGAGTGCTTGGTCCACACTGAGACCTCATCTCTGTGCCTTCAGTCACATCTCCAAGTGCAGACACCATGAGCATGAAAAGCACAGCGGAAAACATACATATTAACCTCTCCCTTTTGAGGGATAGCACATGCACTCTTTATTTTAAGGTATTCTTTCCCCCATGTCACTTCTTCTTTCTGTTCATTTGCTGCACCTTTTAAGGTGCATTCTCGTTCCCATTGGCAGACTCCAAATGTTGGCAGGGATTGCAGGAGATAAGACCCATGAGGTGATAAGAGTGTTTAACAGCGATGGGTCCTGGGCAGCATGGATGGGCTGGAGGGAAGATAAATATTTACACTACATCTTTAGAAGGTGAGTGAATAAAAAG